CAATGCTCTTCTCTGCCGCTAAGAGGGACTTCTCGAGGAGGTCTACAGTGAGTGTGGTGGGACAGACTGAGAGGAAGTGGTCCCTGACTTCACGAAGGGAGTCAGGGAGACGAGTGACTATGAAGTAGAGAGTGATGTACATTGGGGGGGGGTTCTTGGCGCAGAAGTCAGCAGGAAGCGCAGCGCGGTAGCGAGTGTCACTAGTGCGGAGGTGGATAATGAGATCAGTGACAGTGGGAAAGGCAGCAAGGTCAGGGAAGAGGAAGGGTAGCATGAGGCGGCTCAGTGCAGCAGTGGCAGGGGAGGAGTAGCGCGCAACTACAGCGTCGTACAAGGTCTGAGCATACTTGTACTGACTAAAGTGCGCGCGCTCAGCGGTAGGCAGGTGGCGACGCACAGCAAGACGTGCAGCAGCATTGCGTGTGGCCCATTTGGAGCGAACAGTGGGGTCGGCATCAGCAGCAGGGGCAGGGACGGCGCCAGAGGTAAGGTCAAAGAGAGAAAGGTCGTCTACCCTATCGCACTGCAAGAACAGCTGCAGGTCGTCGACCCAGACCTCAAAGTCAATAGCACGGCCCTCAGCGTCAAAAGCCAGGACACTAGGGGTAGCCATGACAGCAGTCGGCGGTCTCACCAGACAGGACGGGTCGCGCAGCTCAGCAGTACAGCAACACGGCAGCTCGGCCGGCCCAGCAGCAACCGCAGCACCGCGGGACCAGCGGCTCGGCTCCTCAGGTGGCTCGGGCGGCTCGGGCGGCGCAGGCGGCTCGGGCGGCTCGGGCGGCTCGGCTTCTCAGCTGCGCAGGCGGCTCGGGTGACGTAGGTGGCACGGGCGGCTCGAGCGGCTCGGGTGACGTAGGCGGCACGGGCGGCTCGGGCGGCTGGGTGTCACAGCGGCGTGGGGCCGGGACGGCGGCGTGCGGCCAGGTCGGGTGGTGCACGAGCGGCTGGGAGCGGGGCCGGGACTGGGTGCGCATGGGCGACGAGGGGGGGCCGGGACAGCTGCGCGCGGCCGGGACGGGTGGCGCACGGGTGGCGTGGGGCCGGAACGGGCGGCGCACGGCGTCGACGGGCCGGGACGGGTGGCGTACCGGCGCCTAAGGGTGGCGCGACAGCGGCGTGGGGCCTGACGGGCGGCGCACGGGTGGGGTGGGGCCGGGACAGGCGGCACACGGTGGCGACGGGCCGGGACAGGCGGCGCACGGGCGCCTAAGGGTGGCGCGACGGCGGCGTGAGGGCCTGACGGGCAGCGCGCGGGCGTCTAGGGGGCCGAGACGGGCGGCGCGCGGGCTCTAAGAGCAGCGCGCGGGCGGCGGGGGCTTGAACGGGCGGCGCGCGGGCTCTAAGGGCAGCGCGCGGGCGGCGTTGGGCCTGGACGGGCGGCGCGAGGGCGTCTAGGGGCCGGGACGGGCGGCGCGCGAGCGTCTAAGGGCGGCGCGCGGGCGTCTAGGGGCCGGGACGGGCGGCGCGCGGGCGTCTAAGGGGGCCGTTAGGGCAGGTCGAAAAAGTGAGAGAGAGGGCCCGGAGCGCGCTCCGGGCAGAAAAAAAAGTTCGATGTGGTGGGCCCTAAGCACAGTTCCCACGGGGGAACCTGCTCGATACCATGAGAAAACTAGAACGAGGATGAATCAACTTTGAATGAAGTGAGTACATATAGGAAACCCTGATTGGGTTGTACCCCCTATGGGATACCCCTCTATAGCCTACACAAATATATATAAGCTATAATGTTCTGACAGGAGGAGCAGGAGGTGCAGGAGGAGCAGGCGGAGCAGGCGGTGCAGGAGGTGTAGGTGGCACTGGAGGCGTTGGTGGCTCACGTGTATACCACCCGTCCGAGGTTAGTCGCAAGGCGCGGGTTGGTTTCTTCTTGAAAAGGAGGTGCGTCCCACTGAATTCCGCCATTGCTTTGCCAGCCAGGCGGGCTAGACTAGAAACTGAATGAAAAAAATGAGGAGGAGGGTGCAGAAATGGGCAACGACGGGGATCCCTGCGGGCTAGCGGCTCGGGGTCCTCGTAAATGACAGGCAGGAAACCCCCGCCTACCCCTGTAGAGGAACCTGCGTGGCAGCATATTCGCTGCGCTGGCAGGGAATCTTCCCCACCCTTCGAGAGGGTTCGGAAGAAATGCAGATGCCACGCAGCGCATGCGGCTGTGATTGGGCCGCACGGCAACATCCCCGTCACTCCTGTCACGTTCGATGGTTCTATACAACTTTGTGCAGTGGGAAACCGAACCGCAGCTGTTTTTGCCTGTAAACCATGCACGCTTCCACTTGTTGCATGGTCCGTTGGATTCGCCTTATTGCGGGCTTCAGTTTAGTATGTTAAAAACTGAATTTCATTTTTTCCTTATTATAGGCGCATGCGCGTATACAGACACCTCAATTAGAAGCGCACCCCCCCAAAAAACACTGTTTTATTATAAGCGCACCTGCGCTTTTATCCGGGGTAATACGATACATTTCTTTATTACAGCGAACACCAATCGTGCGACTCCAGACAGTTACAAAACTGTTCGGGCAGAATACTCGCCACTGCTGCTGCCTGATGCTGTCTGCCCGACGGCCCAGATGATTTTTGTAACAGTGCGACTCTTCTCGTTACTTCCGCCCTTTCGTCTTCAACCTCGGTAGTGCGTGCTCCGTTTGCTGCGGTGAGGAGTGCACAGAAATGTTTCAATAATTACGATTCGTAACACGTCCTCTTCCGGACCAGAGCCTTCCCATGCAGGCGCGTGTTGTCATCCGTGCTCCCCCGCAGAGACATGTTCGGCACGTCAGCTATGCTTTTCGCGTTGAGGTGGGATATGTCCAGGTGATTCTCGGTCTCGTTGAGGCTGCTTGAGATTTCGTATACTGTGAATGCCTTGGCAATGATCTCATCATTGCAAAGTCACAAATGCAGGTGCACGCCCTAATGTTGTCTCATATATGGGAGTTTTGAAGAATGAATTATATTACCCAGATCATCAATCACCCCTGATTTCTGGGTGTTTGAGAGATGAAAACAATCCGACAGTGCGAAACCATCGTTCACCTGGTGTACAGAAACCACGTGGTCGCGTGACAGTGTTCCGTCAGGCCAAGGCTGTCACATGCTGCTTGAACATTTGCAAGACGGATCATTTACAGCGGCGACAGAGTTGGCCTAAGGCCATGTTAGGATTTGATTTTTTCAAATGATGCTAGGCCACGCCCTCTGATTCATATTACGCAAGACGACAACTACTGCATCCTCCTCAACGTGATGCGGGTGCAGCAGCCGCGACACAATTCAGTGCAAAACAGTTTCGAAGGTTCGATCGATCGAAATGCTTTCTTGCTCAGTACTTCTAACGTCATTGTACACCTCGTCGCCAATAACTACGGTAGTGTAACTACCCTTGCTTTATCTGAGACCGAGGGTTGCGTAGAGCTTTTACGTTAGAATAGTAACATTCTTGTACAGCAGAAGCTACCTTGAGACTGGGATGTTGCACACGTAAATTTGCATTGGCATGAGCTGTTCATACTAGTGCGACTTGATGCACACTAGTTTATGAAGATGTACAATGTATTTGCGTGAGCTGCAATACATTGTTATGATATATATATTTTCGGTAGATCCAATAGATCAGGGCCCACGTGAAAGAATGAGTGGTAAAAATATAGGTAGATTTTTACTCCCAAACCAAGGCTCGAAAAAAATAAGGCATAAAAAACCTACACACCATTTGTTTTTACGGGATGTGAGGGGAGATAAGACATGGTAGCCGAGGTCCGACCCTGCACAACGGGTAGTCCCGAAAATCTTGCTGAGCATATCCAAGATTTTCTTTCAAGTGCAATGTAAGGAGCATGAGCAACACCGCTGCTGCCAGAACACCATCATTGACCAGCTGAACATATTTAGTGGAAAGGCCGTTGCTGATGATGTGGATGCGTGACAATCCGGTTTGTGACCCAGGTTCACGACGATATCCAGGGCTACGATTCTTTGTAGGCGCGTCCAGTGAGCTGGTGCGCGAATGGATGTGCTGGGTTTAGCTGGAAGGTTTGGTGGTTTACCTTGCGCTTTGCTGATACAGTGAATAGAGCGTTTGGTTGGGTCTGATTTGAACATTGAAGCCCATAACGGCTCATTCAACTCTGTTCCGGCTGTGTTAGCGGGGGTTTGGTGGTCTACCTTGCGTTTCAAGTTGTTCTTGCCGATGGATAGAACGGTTGAAAATGGTTTGAGTAATGTAGCAACTCATTCAACTCGACGGATTGCACGGTCGCTACCGCGCCACATTGGAAGACAGGAAACTAGAGCACCAATTCGTAAGCAGCGACGAGAAGACAAACCAGCCATCACACTCACTTCTGCTGTCACGGGCAGCAGGGAAACAGGCAAAGCTTGCCACTGTGGCAACTTTTGTGCAGCAACACCTTTCCTCCTCAGGCCCTTCAAAGCTGAAAGAGGAAGAGACATCACATGGGACGAAATATCCTGTGGTCGGTCGGCCTCACAAACAGCAACTTTGCTGCTGCGGGACTCGCGAAAGTGTCAGCCAAGCATCCCTTAGGCAACCAAGAACGTCTTGAAGGGAGCATTGCCATTCCAAGTATTTTTTCCAAGCCAAGTAGTTTTCCAGACATAGTACAGTTTCAAGGAGTAGTACTACAATATTCCGTCACGCGTGCAATTGAGGGATTACAAGCATGGTCAGAGGCATCATGGGCCGCAACGTGCGTGGCCGTTCGCGGAACGAAGTTGATCCTCACGGTACTGGAACTGACGGCGTGACCTGTGACTCCGATCGACGTTTTCACCGAACCTGCACAGCAGGAATATTCTTCCCGTCCATCTTCCGGCCGAGAGGTAACCATCATGGGAGTACTAAGGGCGAGAAGGCACAGCCCGCCGCTAGAGACTGTTGCGAAAGATGTCCAAGCAGCGGCCATTTATCCGAAAGAAGTACTAGTGCAGCTGCTCCGGCGGTCACAGAGGGTCAGACATCGACCCAGTCTGAACAGATGCTGATCTCTGCTCGACATGCGGATGGCTTTCAACCGACGGCGGAAATAGCAGAGGAAAACCGTGCCACGAAAGCCGCAGCGGCGTGGCATGCGGCGATAACCCGCCGTCGTGCGTCTTTAGGAGGCAACGTTGGCGCGGATCCCCGTCGACGCAGCGGCAGTTTCAAGGCCAACAGCATAAATGGTGCGGGGAGCATCGCAAGTAGCTGCGGGAGTAGCTTCGGGAGCAGCAGTATGAGTCGCAGCGGCAGCACACTTACTAGTCGCAGCAGCAGCAGCAGCCTGGCGCGGTCCGACAGCGTGGGGTTCGGGCCGTCTCGGTTTGTGCTGCGGCAGCGGTACGAGGACATCAGGCTGCGGTACCTGGTGCACAAGGAGCAGCTCGGCACGGGCGAGTACGGCGCCGTCCGGCCGTGCGTTGAAGCCGACTCCGGCCGGCTGCTAGCCTGCAAGACCATCCGCAAGCAACAGATCACGGTACGTTCCTTCAACATCCGTTTCTCGTTGTTTCGTGATGATGGTGAACCATTCGTCCAACGGCATATCATCGTTCAACCTATATGCAGATCCTCACCGGTTTGTTTTTGCCTCTGATGTGTGACAGACGTACGAAGACGCCGAGGCCATCCGCACGGAGGTGGCGTGTTTGTGGGAGGTGAGGGGCCATCCGAGCATCATCAGTCTGCACGACGCCGTGGAGGATGGCAAGCGCGTGCACCTCGTCATGGAGCTCTGCCACGGCGGCGATCTCTTCCGCCGAGTGACGCAGCGCGGCACGCTGAGTGAACGCAGCGCTGCCAAGGTTTGCCACGCTCTGGCGACAGCAGTGTTGCACTGCCACCGCCATGGAATCATGCATCGCGACATCAAGCCGAAGAATGTGCTGCTCCTAGACGATTCTGATGAGCCCCACGTCAAACTGAGCGACTTTGGTGTCGCCACTTTCTTTGAGGACGGAGATTCGCTGACTGAGTTTGCGGGAACCACTCAATACATCGCCCCTGAAGTGTGGAAGGGGCAATACGGGCCTGAAGCTGACATCTGGGGACTTGGAGCTCTCCTGTATTTCTGCATAGCCGGTGTGTCCCCGTATCGGGCCCCAACGAAGCAACAGGTAGCGGAAGCAGTGTTGACACAAGGGGTGGATTTCAGCCTGGCGTGGTGGAGAAAAGTTTCTCCAGAGTGTATAGATCTAATTGGTAGCATGCTCAATAAGGACCCCTTTGGTAGGATTACTCTGGTAGAGGTTCTGCAACATTCATGGATCAGGAGACATGCTAATGCATGAGGGTTATGTTTAATTGTTTATACAATATAACAGTTAATATAAGGGCAGGTGCATAAGCTTTACCAGTTGACATTATCAATATTTGTTTTTACGACAAAAGGGGCACCGCTCTGCGCTTCTGTCTGTTGTGTTGTGACAACCTTCTTGAGATTGTCCTCCAGCCATCGCATCGCATCCAAGCAAGCAGCCCTGGCGTGCTCAAGGGCATCGGTCTTCCGCAGCCACAGGCTCAAGGACAGCACAGCAACTGAACGTCAAGCTCGCATGCTCGCAACATTAGACAGCAACACAAGCCTAGCTTTTCTGGGAGTCGTGCCGGTGCTGTCCACCTTACTTTCCGGTTATGAGTTCTGCCGAAACCCACTCCACATTGCCATCAACGGTTATTCGTGCGGTCAGATAGATGTTCATACGGAGCACCAAGCGAGCGGAACAATATGACAGTAACCGACCGTTCGAGTCCGTGCAAGAAGCTGTCTCGCTGCCTGACGGACGACGACATGTCTTTTGCAGACGACCACGTTCAGGTGGACAGCAGCCGGCCGTTAGAGTCGTCGTCCGCCACGCGAGATCCCCTCGAAGGCGGTCAGCGCACGCAGCCCGTTCGTCACGATGACGTCTCGGTCTCCGTGAGTGCTTCGAGGGACGTGTCGCGTGCAAACGCCGCCTCGTCAGACGTTCCAGGAATTGTCCAGCCATCGCGAACATTGCCAGCATCGCACGATAGATCGCAAGGGCCGTCGACTACATCGTCGCAGCCGAACCAACGGAATCTGCAGTCGCCGATGCTGCGTAAGGAGGAGCCCCGAGAGCTACAGCGGCAGTGGGATTCCCTAGGCGCGAACGCGACCGACAGAGCATGTGATTCTGTTGATGCGGAACCGTCTAATGCGGAAGCCGCGCGGCGACGGCGGGAATTGAGACTGCGGGTGGATTCGGAGGGATCAGAGGACGACGCCGACGATCTCCGATCGCGCCGCTCCGACCGACTAGTTCCCGCCTACTCGAAGCGGCAAGGCCACCATGGCGCATGCAGCATGCGCGCGGGGGGGAAGCTCAAGTGGGGGGAGGATTTCTGGCGGGGGAAGCCGGCGGAAGAGGCGATTCCGCGGGGGTTCACATTCAAGGGGTACCTCGCGCAGCCCATGGCGGCGCATGCGGTCGCCGCCCCTTCCGACCCGCCGAGCGAGCGCGAGGCGGCTCAGGCTCGGCCGTTCAACGTGCAGGTGCAGGTGTTCCGGCGGGTGGTGAACGTGATGCGGCGGGTGCGCATCCCGGTGATACACCCCTACTCGCGCTTCCGCCGCGACGTCAACCTCCTCATCGCCCTCTGCATCACCTACAACGTCGTCAGTCCCCCGCCGCCCGCCCCACACGAGTACTCTGCACTGGTTTTCCTGGACGGAGCGTTTCTGATTTTGCGTGAAATGTGTTGTGACGTGGGTGTCAGAGCTTCCCTCGTCCCTTCAATCTCCCTTCCCCCTCCTGCCTTCCTGAACCCCCCCACACCGCATCCTCCCCCCCTCTTTTCTTTCCCCCGGTGCATGGGGGCGCGCAGTGGGAGGTGTTCTACCAGGTGGCGTTCAACTTGCGCGCGCAGGGAGCGTGGCAGATCGTGGACGCGTGCCTCTCCGCCATCTTTCTCGCCGACGTCTTCCTCGGCTTCAAAACCGGGTGAGAGCAAACGGGCTGGCCCACTTCCCCTCTCGCTTTTGCCTTTCTTCCGTGTGTCGCCTGCTGTGTTCCGCCACGCCATCACTTCTGGTGAAACATGGGACGTCATGACTCGTGCCTCGTTGCCACGTCATCATTTGCCACACGCGTGTGCTTCACTTCACGCAGGTACGTGACGAAGGAGAAGCACGTGGTGATGGACGACGGCATGAAGGTGCTCAAGCCGCAACAGATCGTCATGGATCAGGTACGCACCACCCACCCAATCCCACCCCATCAGCAACACACACACTGGGCAGTTGACGTCTCACTCTGCTACCCGCCATCTCTTGCTCACGGCACGAGTCTCCTTGGAGCGGCTTCGTTGCCCCTTATGGTGCTGTTTCTCCTATTTCTTCACCTCCCTTTTCTTCTCTCCATGCTCCTACCATCATCTTCCCCTCCTTGCTCTACCCTCACCCGCCTTCCCTCCGCTCCTCTCCTCTCTGCCAACCTCCCCTCGCCCATCCCCCCATGGCCAGCGCAAGGTGGTGTGGCACTACCTGCGCACGTGGTTCGCCTTGGACCTGCTCTCCTCACTGCCCTTCGACCTCCTCACCTCGCTCGCCTCCGACTCCCCCGCTGGCTTCTGGATCTCCGTCGTGCGTTCCCCCCCCCCCCCCCCCGCCCCCCTCCCTGCTCATGCACATGCGCACTGCCGGGCCTACCCCACGGCCTGCCCCCCTGCCGGCCCCATTGCCTGCCCCACTGCCCGCCTCCCTGCGTGCCCCACTGCCCGCCTCCCTGCGTGCCCCACTGCCCGCCTCCCCTGCCTGCAAACTGGCCGCATGCGCGCGCATCCATGCCTCTGCTCTGTGCGTCTGTACCCACGCCCATGTTCATTCGCGCACACCTCATAGTACGCCATTCACCGCGCTGCCCCCTACATGCATGTGTACTCCCCCGTGTGCGTGCGAGCATGTGTGCGTGCATGCGTCTGTGTGCATAGGCGTTCCGGCTGTTGAAGCTGTTCCGGGTGCACCGGCTGGGCGTGGCAGCGAAGCAGCTGAGGCGCGCGTCTGTCAACACCAACTACATGGACGTCGCCATCCTGCTCTTCCAGGTGCCCACCCCTCATGCCCTTGCTCTTCCAGGTTCCCACCCCTCATGCCCTTGCTCTTCCAGGTGCGCCCGTCCCCATCCCGGAATGGTCCTGTCTCTCAGGCTTTATGAAACAATTGAGGCCAGAGTTAGAAAAGAGAGTAGGAGCTGCTGCGTGGGTGCCAGTGAGCCATCTCCACCAGGGTCACTCCTTCTCCTCTTCCGCCATCTCCCTCTGCCTCCCCATCCCGCCCCCTCAGATCTGCATGCTCTGCCACATAGGCGCGTGCATCTTCGTGCTCATTGGCCGTCTAGAGTTGCCGGATGAGACATGGCTGGGGGCAACCTATTGGAGCGAGGGTGGCGTTGCGCAGACGCTGGAGTCAGCACCCGCTGGCGTGGTCTACGTGGCGGCTATTTATTGGTCCATGGTCACATTCGCTGGGGTGCGTACCCGCAGAATCAGCAGCATCCTTCCCTGCAGCGCTGTCATGCCAACCCACCTTCCCAGCCCTGACTCCCAGCTTAGATATGTGCTCATTCCACGTGTACCGCACACCACATGCCTTTGCATCCCTTTGCCCGCTTCCTACCGCCCCTTTCCTTTCCCTGAAGCCAGGTGGGGTACGGGGACATCCACCCAATGAACACACTAGCAGAGCGCCTGTTTGCCACGGTGTACATACTGCTCACGGCCATCATGCTGGGCTACACTATTGGCGAGCTCTCCTCCATGGTCTATGCCCGCCGCATGCAGCGCGAATCCATGCGCCAACGCATGACCACGCTCCACAGGTGCGCGCATCGCGCTGCACAGGTGCTGCTCACCTTGTGCCTATTGCTGTAACCTGATTTCTGCCTATTGCTGTAACCTGATTTCTGCCTATTGCTGTAACCTGATTTCTGCCTATTGCTGTAACCTGATTTCTGCCTATTGCTGTAACCTGATTTCTGCCTATTGCTGTAACCTGATTTCTGCCTATTGCTGTAACCTGATTTCTGCCTATTGCTGTAACCTGATTTCTGCCTATTGCTGTAACCTGATTTCTGCCTATTGCTGTAACCTGATTTCTGCCTATTGCTGTAACCTGATTTCTGCCTATTGCTGTAACCTGATTTCTGCCTATTGCTGTAACCTGATTTCTGCCTATTGCTGTAACTTGATTTCTGCTCTCGCACTTCACCTGATTTCTGCTCTCGCACTTCACCTGATTTCTGCTCTCGCACTTCACCTGCCCTCACTTTCCACCCGCCTGCCCCCTGTGTTCTGCGTGCCCTGCATCCGTGCCTCCTCCTCGCGCCATGCATCCAGGTTCATCGAGAGGGAACACCTGCCAGAGTGGCTGGCCAACCGCATGGTGTGCTCGCCTGCCCTCCACCCCCGCCCCCTCATGCCTCTGCCATTCCCATGCCTCCGCCGTTCGAATGCCTTCTTCAAACTTCTGCATCTTCCACCCCATGCCTCTTCCACCCCATGCCTCTTCCACCCCATGCCTCTTCCACCCCATGCCTCTTCCACCCCATGCCTCTTCCACCCCATGCCTCTTCCACCCCATGCCTCTTCCACCCCATGCCTCTTCCACCCCATGCCTCTTCCACCCCATGCCTCTTCCACCCCATGCCTCTTCCACCCCATGCCTCTTCCACCCCATGCCTCTTCCACCCCATGCCTCTTCGCTCCCCATGCCTCTTCGCTCCCCATGCCTCTTCGCTCCCCATGCCTCTTCGCTCCCCATGCCTCTTCGCTCCCCATGCCTCTTCGCTCCCCATGCCTCTTTGCTCCCCATGCCTCTTCGCTCCCCATGCCTCTTCGCTCCCCATGCCTCTTCGCTCCCCATGCCTCTTCGCTCCCCATGCCTCTTTGCTCCCCATGCCTCTTCGCTCCCCATGCCTCTTCGCTCCCCATGCCTCTTCGCTCCCCATGCCTCTTCGCTCCCCATGCCTCTTCGCTCCCCATGCCTCTTCGCTCCCCATGCCTCTTCGCTCCCCATGCCTCTTCGCTCCCCATGCCTCTTCCATCCCCGTGCTTCGCCCATCCCATGCCTCTTCCATCCTCGTGCCTGGCCCATCCCATGCCTCGTGCCTGGCCCATCCCATGCCTCGTGCCTGGCCCATCCCATGCCTCGTGCCTGGCCCCTGCAAGTGCAGATGGCGTATCTGATGCGGCAGTGGCAGGCGTCAGTCAACAGCAAGTTTGAGGAGCTCGAGCTCATGCAGAGCCTCACTGTGAGTCATGCAGAGCCTCACTGTGAGTCATGCAGAGCCTCACTGTGAGTCATGCAGAGCCTCACTGTGAGTCATGCAGAGCCTCACTGTGAGTCATGCAGAGCCTCACTGTGAGTCATGCAGAGCCTCACTGTGAGTCATGCAGAGCCTCACTGTGAGTCTTATCTGCTTCCCACTGTCTTTTTTCGACCCAACAGAAAATAACCATCTACACACCTGCTGGCTCCTCTTGCTTTGCGCCCTCATCCCTCCCCTCCCCCTCGCTCACTCTCCTCCTCCACTGTGTCTCTTACCCCGGAACCCCTTCCACCCCCACCCCTCTGGGTGCATGGCGGCATGGCCACAGGACGATCTGCGAACGGACCTCTTTGTGCACTGGTGGACGCAACATGTGCCTCCCAGGTCTGCTCCCTCCGCTGCTGCCATGCCACTCGCTCCTCCTGCGTCGTTTCTCCCCCCTGCCACCATGCCTTGTCTCCTCCCCCTTCTCACCACCTCCTAGCCTTCCACTTATCACCCTCTGCTCTCCGTTTTGTTCGCTCCCATTCTTTCCCTCCCCCTTCCCTCCTCCCCCCTTCCCCCTGCCCCTGCAGCCCCTTCTTCCCGCACGAGCAGCAGTGCCTGGCGACTCTGCAGCGCGTGCTGGTGCCACGTGCAGTGGCAGCGGGGGATGTGGTGGTGAGGGAGGGCGAGGTGAGCCGGCACGTGTACGTGGTGCGCGCGGGCACACTGGAGATGGCGTGGGCGCTGCACGGGGCGGACACTCTCGTCGAGACTGCCGCCACGCTGCCAGGCAAACCCATCGTACGCTTGGGGGGGGGGGGGGGGGGGTGTTGCCAGCCTCCGGTGATCTTGCAATGCAATTTCCTGATTTCTTGCCTTGTGCTGTTGTTGTAGCAACAACCTTGTTGCTTCTCCCTGTGATGTTCCTCTTGTTTCCCAATACCCCCTTTCCCAGCTGGGCAGTGAGGGCATGAAGTTGGCGCGAGCAGTGAGCATGAGGCGCTGTCGGGCGCGCTCCATGCAGCGCCAGGCCAGCTGCTCCTCCCATGGTAGCCCCATGGCACCGCCTCTCCACCCCGCGCCCGCCACTGCTGCTCTGCACATGCCCACTCCCATGCATGACTTGCATGGGAAAAATAGCACAAACAGCATAGGCGATGCATGCAACATGCATGGTGGTGATGCCTCGCCTGCTCCCGGTGCATGCGAAGTGCAGCATGGTGAGAGCCCTGCCATGGTTGGGTGCTCCCGGCGCACACGTGTGTACGATTCATCGCTGTGCACCATTGCGAGCAGCAGCCTCATGCACAGCGACTCATGCGGGTCAGGGGACGGATTCCCCTTGCCTGGCGACGCCATTGAGCCACTGCGAGAGGATGCGGAGGACGGGTGTGGGGAGGGGGCAGGGCACAGGGGTGCAAGCGGCGTGGTGCCGCGGGTGCACAGCACAGCGGCTTCACATGAGAGCTATGGTTCTGTGCGGCACAACAGCCATCTGCTGGGGCAGGCAGCGTTTGAGAGCAGGACGGTGGGCGTGGGTCATGTGATGGGGCTGGACGGGCTCTCTGAGGTGCTCGAGCTGCAGACCAGCGAACCCTCGTGGCCCGAGCAACGAGTCCCCTTCCTCTTCATGGAAGGAACCTTCCAGGTATGCTCCTGTTTTGGTTGTGTGATGATGCGGCACTTGGTAGTTCTTTCTCAAACCTGCATTCCTTTCCGGCTGTTTTTTCATCGAGTTTTTACCCTTGTGTGTTGGGATGGGGTGGGTGTGTGGGCAGGCAAAGACGGAGTGTGAGCTGCTGCTGCTGCTAATTGATGATCTCTTTGACACGCTTGAGAGTTTCCCCGAGCTGCTCACAGTGTTACGCTTGAGCCTGGGCTTGCCGCTAACGGAGCAGGAACAGCTGGTGCGGTATCGCAGGGCACTCAGCACGCGAAACAGGAGGAACACATCCTCGCATCAAGCCAAGTCTAATCGCAAATAGGGATACTAGATTCTGACGAAGTGGTACATGCCATGAGCTGCCTCTCACAGCATTATAAGGAGTCGTATGTTTGTAGTTAGTGCTATATACTGGTGTATATAGTTTGTAGTCGTATGGAGAGGTTCGCCTTGTTGAGGAAGAATCGAGGGCGAGGCGGCGGCTCGTCGGCAACACACTCCTTGGCGGTCTTAGGCAAGGCTCATATGCCTGTGAGCACGTCCAGGTTTATTTATACCACTGAATTTCGTTAACGGTAGAGCTATTTAGCTTACGGTGCACTGCTCGCGTAATGCCTAGTCTTCGGACAGGCGAGGGGGTTAGAGCTGAAGCACGACTTTTATCGCCGTTAGGGTTGCACTGAGGATAATTTAAGCAGGCCGTCTCAGCTGTCAGTCCCAGCAGTGGCGCGCAGCGATGGTGACGTCAGTGTCGGCGTCGATGATGATCGACGCGGCGACTCACCCCCACTCGCACTCCCACTCTTACCCTCATTCGCACTCCCACTCCCTCCCCCACTCTCACTCTCACTCTAACGAGCACACCAATCGCGCCCCCGGCCGCCGCAGCAATCGCCCCTGGCGCACCTCGTCGCACCGCATCGTGGAACACGATGCGGCCACCGCTAACCACGCGGCACAGCGCCGCCAGTCGCGGCTCGACTTTCAAACGGAGCTAGGCTCGCCGGCGGAGCGGCGCGAAAAAAGCGAGTCGCTAAACCAGCGCATGATAGAGGGGCGCGGCGACGCCATGGACCACTCGAGCGAGCCGCGCCTCGACACCTCCGGCAGCTGCTCGCCGCCGTCGTCCCTTGACGTGCTCCCCGTGTCGTCCCTCCCCGCGTCGGCCCTTTCCGTGTCGCCCTTCGACGTGCTGCAGCTGCCCGTGCCGGACGACGGGGAGCGGCCCGACGTGGACGGCACGAGCAGGAGCGGGGTGGCGGGGGCAAGGGGAGGGGCGGAAGGAGAACCGCTGCCGGGCGGCAAGCCGCTGTTCGGGCAGCGGCGGTTGCGCTCGCGGCTTTGGCGGTCCACCAAGGAGCTGCGCGAGGAGGACCCGGGCGACGACGTGGCGCTCTCCTTCGCGTTCGACACGCCACCCGCCGCCGCGCCACTCAAGGCGCGCTCGCCCTTCCAGTGGGTGATGAAAAGCGCCTCTGGCGTGTTCGCGCCGGGCGGTGGGGACGACGGCAGCAGCAGCAGCGGCAGCAGCAGCGACAGCGGCGGCAGTATCCGCAGGACGCCGGGGAAGGAGGGGGCGGCGCGGGTGGCGCTAGAGGAGTATATGAACGTGCCCATGCAGCTCAGACCAGGGCGCTCCGGCGAGAGCGAGCCGCCCGACGCGGAGCAGATGGGTGCGCGGCGGTGGTGGCGCGGAGGGCCGTGTGTGGTGGCGTTCAAGGCGGCGCTGGCGGCGGCAATGCGCGTGCGCATCCCCATCGTGCACCCGTACTCGCGCTTCCGGCGTGATGTGAACCTCATAGTGGGCGCCTGCATCGCCTACAACCTCGTGAGTCAGCCCCTCCCGCTGCTGCCCGTGCCCCGCATTGCTTGTTTGCTCCCCGTGCGCTCCCCTGTGCGGCCAACACACGGCTCCTTCACATGTGGTGCTTGTGTGCCAAACCAGCCTCCTTCGCCTGCCACACCATCCCACTGCATGCCCATGCCCATGCCCACGCCCATGCCCATGCCCATGCCCACGCCCATGCCCATGCCCATGCCCACGCCCATGCCCATGCCCACGCCCATGCCCATGCCCACGCCCATGCCCATGCCCATGCCCACGCCCATGCCCATGCCCATGCCCACGCCCATGCCCATGCCCATGCCCACGCCCATGCCCATGCCCACGCCCATGCTCATGCCCATGCCCATGCCCATGCCCATGCCATGCGCCATGCATGTGTGGCGGCATGGCAGTGGGAGGTGCTGTACATGGTGGCGTTCGACCTGAGGGCCACGGGCGCATGGCTCTTCCTCGACTCGTGCCTCTCCCTCGTCTACCTCGCCGACGTGCTCCTCGGCTTCAAAACCGGGTGGGTCACCCCCACACCACACCACATCACACCACGCGCACCATGGGGCGAGGGGGGGGGGGTGCACCCGGGTGGCCCATTGGGGAGGAACAGCAAGTGGTGGGGGTTCTTATGAGGCATGCTATGGGCGTGGAAAGGGGGCGGGAACGTGGAGAGCAAATGGGGGCGTGGAGAGCAGTTGAGGGTGAGAGCAGGTTGGTGCATCCTTGCACCCCGTCACTTCCACACTTGACGACTCTCCTACCCAGTACCCTCCTCCCCCTCCAACCCCCACACATCGACCCTCATTCTTCCATCCATCAACCCCTGCACTCATGCCATCCACATCCTCCTTCCGCTCCCTCTCGCCCTCCCCTTTGCCCCCTTCGCCCTCCCCTCGCCCTCCCCTTGCCCCCCGTTGCCCTCCCCTCGGCCTCCCCTCGCTCTACCGTTGCCCTCCCCTCCCTTCATCGGTGGTACCATGGGTGGATGGGGGCTCACAGGTACCTGACGAGGGAGAAGCACGTGATGGGGGAGGGCGGGGTCAAGATGCTGCTGCCACAGCAGATCGTCATGGACCAGGCAAGCCACACCCGCCCTGACACCTCATACCATCGCATACCACCGCATACCACCTCATACCACCTCATACCACCTCATACCACATCATACCACCTCATACCACCTCATACCACCTCATGCCACCTCACCCCATCATCTGCCACCAGCTGCGCTGCAACATCCATGCACATCCCTTCCACACGTTGCCTCCCTATCCCCACGGCCCAACTCCTTCCCCTCCTCCCCCCCCATTCCCTTCCCCTCATGGTGGCGTGGCATGGCAGAGGCGCATAGTGTGGCACTACCTGCGCACGTGGTTTGTGGTGGACGTGCTGTCCTCGCTGCCCATCGACCTCATCATCTCCGCCCTCGCCCAGTCCAGCATCGGCTTCTGGCTCTCCGCCGTCAGTCCCCACCCTGCCCCCTCGCTCCCCTCCCTCTGTCTCCCCCACTCTCCCCTCCCCTTGTCCACCCTCCGCCCCCTCCCATCCCGTCTCGTCCCCTCCCATCTTACCTTTCCACCGCCCCTTTTAATGTCGTACCGCCCTTGTCACACCTCCATCCCTCTCCTTCTGCATGCCCCATGCTCTGCCCGTCCCTCCCACCCACTCACCTCCTACTCGTCCCCCCGCCCTTTTTCCCTCTTCCTACTCCTTCTACGCTCCCTTCCCTGTCCCCTCCCCCCACTCGTCCCCGTCTCCCCCCCTCTTCGCCAGCCAGGCGTTGCGGCTGCTGAAGCTGCTGCGGCTGAGGCGGTTGGGGCAGGCAACGCAGCAGCTGAGGCAGTCTGCGCTCGCAGGGCTCTACATGGAAATGACCATCCTCGTGCTGCAGGTGGGATGACCATCCTCGTGCTGCAGGTGGGATGCCCATCCTCGTGCTGCAGGTGGGATGCCCGGAACTAGAATTCTGCTGCTCACCAGCAGAGCACCATCTCACCACCAGAGCACCATCTCACCACCAGAGCACCATCTCACCACCAGAGCACCATCTCACCACCAGAGCACCATCTCACCACCAGAGCACCATCTCACCAGCAGAGCACCATCTCACCACCAGAGCACTCACAGCAGGCACCATCTTCACCAGCAGAGCACCATCTCACCACAGAGCACCATCTCACCATCCAGAGCACCATCTCACCAGCAGAGCACCATCTCACCACCAGAAGCACCATCTCACCACCAGAGCACCATCTCACCACCAGAGCACCATCTCACCAGCAGAGCACCATCTCACCAGCAGAGCACCATCTCACCAGCAGAGCACCATCTCACCACAGAGCACCATCTCACCAGCAGAGCACCATCTCACCACCAGAGCACCATCTCACCACCAGATGCACCATCTCACCAGCCAGAGCACCATCTCACCAGCCAGCCAGAGCACCATCTCACCACCAGAGCGACGTCATCTCACCAGCAGAGCACCATCTCACCCACCAGAGCACCATCTCACCACCAGAGCACCATCTCACCAGCCAGAGCACCATCTCAACCAGAGCACCCTCAACCACCAGCAGCACCATCTCACCCAGAGCACCATCTCACCACCAGAGCACCATCTCACCACCAGAGGCACCATCTCACCACCAGAGCACCATCTCACCACCAGAGCACCATCTCACCACCAGAGCACCATCTCACCACCAGAGCACCATCTCACACCATCTCACCACCAGAGCACCATCTCACCACCAGAGCACCATCTCACCAGCAGAGCACCATCTCACCACCAGAGCACCATCTCACCACCAGAGCACCATCTCACCACCAGAGCACCATCTCACCACCAGAGCACCATCTCACCACCAGAGCACCATCTCACCACCAGAGCACCATCTCACCACCAGAGCACCATCTCACCACCAGAGCACCATCTCACCACCAGAGCACCATCTCACCACCAGAGCACCATCTCACCACCAGAGCACCATCTCACCACCAGAGCACCATCTCACCACCAGAGCACCATCTCACCAGCAGAGCACCATCTCACCAGCAGAGCACCATCTCACCACCAGAGCACCATCTCACCACCAGAGCACCATCTCACCACCAGAGCACCATCTCACCACCAGAGCACCATCTCACCACCAGAGCACCATCTCACCAGCCAGAGCACCATTCTCACCACCAGAGCACCATCTCACCACCAGAGCACCATCTCACCACCAGAGCACCATCCTCACCACCAGAGCACCATCTCACCACCAGAGGCACCATCTCACCACCAGAGCACCATCTCACCACCAGAGCACCATCTCACCAACAGCAGCACCATCTCCCACCAGAGCACCATCTCACCCCCAGAGCACCATCTCACCAGCAGAGCACCATCTCACCAGCAGAGCACCATCTCACCAGCAGAGCACCATCTCACCAGCAGAGCACCATCTCACCAGCAGAGCACCATCTCACCACCAGAGCACCATCTCACCACCAGAGCACCATCTCACCACCAGAGCACCATCTCACCACCAGAGCACCATCTCACCACCAGAGCACCATCTCACCACCAGAGCACCATCTCACCACCAGAGCACCATCTCACCACCAGAGCACCATCTCACCACCAGAGCACCATCTCACCACCAGAGCACCATCTCACCACCAGAGCACCATCTCACCACCAGAGCACCATCTCACCACCAGAGCACCATCTCACCACCAGAGCACCATCTCACCACCAGAGCACCATCTCACCACCAGAGCACCATCTCACCACCAGAGCACCATCTCACCACCAGAGCACCATCTCACCACCAGAGCACCATCTCACCACCAGAGCACCATCTCACCACCAGAGCACCATCTCACCACCAGAGCACCATCTCACCACCAGAGCACCATCTCACCACCAGAGCACCATCTCACCACCAGAGCACCATCTCACCACCAGAGCACCATCTCACCACCAGAGCACCATCTCACCACCACCTGTCTCACCAGTGCCCCTGTCTCACCAGTGCCCCTGTCTCACCAGTGCCCCTGTCTCACCAGTGCCCCTGTCTCACCAGTGCCCCTGTCTTCCAGCTCCCATACCCTTTGCCATACTACCATGCCCCTCTCATACTCCCCTCGCTCCGCCCCCCTTCTTCCTTCCAATCTTCTGTACCCTTCTTCCTCCCAATCTTCTTTACCCTTTTTCCTTCTTCCTTCCAATCTTCTTTACCCTTCTTCCTTCTTCCTCCCAATATTCTTTACCCTTTTTCCTTCTTCCTCCCAATCTTCTTTACCCTTTTTCCTTCTTCCTCCCAATCTTCTTTACCCTTTTTCCTTCTTCCTCCCAATCTTCTTTACCCTTTTTCCTTCTTCCTCCCAATCTTCTTTACCCTTTTTCCTTCTTCCTCCCAATCTTCTTTACCCTTTTTCCTTCTTCCTCCCAATCTTCTTTACCCTTTTTCCTTCTTCCTCCCAATCTTCTTTACCCTTTTTCCTTCTTCCTCCCAATCTTCTTTACCCTTTTTCCTTCTTCCTCCCAATCTTCTTTACCCTTTTTCCTTCTTCCTCCCAATCTTCTTTACCCTTTTTCCTTCTTCCTCCCAATCTTCTTTACCCTTTTTCCTTCTTCCTCCCAATCTTCTTTACCCTTTTTCCTTCTTCCTCCCAATCTTCTTTACCCTTTTTCCTTCTTCCTCCCAATCTTCTTTACCCTTTTTCCTTCTTCCTCCCAATCTTCTTTACCCTTTTTCCTTCTTCCTCCCAATCTTCTTTACCCTTTTTCCTTCTTCCTCCCAATCTTCTTTACCCTTTTTCCTTCTTCCTCCCAATCTTCTTTACCCTTTTTCCTTCTTCCTCCCAATCTTCTTTACCCTTTTTCCTTCTTCCTCCCAATCTTCTTTACCCTTTTTCCTTCTTCCTCCCAATCTTCTTTACCCTTTTTCCTTCTTCCTCCCAATCTTCTTTACCCTTTTTCCTTCTTCCTCCCAATCTTCTTTACCCTTTTTCCTTCTTCCTCCCTATCTTCTTTACCCTTTTTCCTTCGTCCTCCCAATCTTCTTTACCCTTTTTCCTTCTTCCTCCCAATCTTCTTTACCCTTTTTCCGTTTTCCTCCCAATCTTCTTTACCCTTTTTCCTTCTTCCTCCCAATCTTCTTTACCCTTCTTCCTTCCCCGTCGCTCCACGATCCACTCCCCGGGGTGCCTGTGCGAGCAGATCTGCATGGTGTGCCACGTGGGAGCGTGTGCCTTTGCGCTCATCGGTCGCCTCGAGACGGCGCCCCAGTCGTGGCTGGCGGCGTTCAACTGGAGCAACGGGGGCGCCCAGGAGACGCTAGAGAGTGCACCGCACGGGGTCGTGTATGCCGCCGCCTACTACTGGGCCATGGTCACCTTCGCCTCTGTGCGCACCTTCCCCCCTCCGCCCTCCCATTCATGCCCCTCTCCGCCTTTGCTTCTGCTTCTGCCTCCTCGCCCCTGCTGCCGGCCGAGTCTTCTCTGCCTGTCGCCTGTGCCGCTTCCACCCCACCACGCTCGCCTTCCACCCCACCACGCTCGCCTTCCACCCCACCACGCTCGCCTTCCACCCCACCACGCTCGCCTTCCACCCCACCACGCTCGCCTTCCACCCCACCACGCTCGCCTTCCACCCCACCACGCTCGCCTTCGACCCACACGCCCCACCCATCGCTCCCCGCACTGCATCCATCCCACACCCTCCCCACCCGCTCTATCTCCTCTCATTACCACTCCGCACCTCCCGCCTCCCCTTACCTTGGTAACCCCCTGCCGTCGTGCACGTGTGTGCTTTGCTCTTTCCGTCACACATTCTTCCGTCACACATTCTTCCGTCACACATTCTTCCGTCACACATTCTTCCGTCACACATTCTTCCGTCACACATTCTTCCGTCACACATTCTTCCGTCACACATTCTTCCGTCACACATTCTTCCGTCACACATTCTTCCGTCACACATTCTTCCGTCACACATTCTTCCGTCACACATTCTTCCGTCACACATTCTTCCGTCACACCCTCCCACAAACCCCCCTCTGCCATGCATCACCACCACCCCCCTGCCAGGTGGGGTACGGGGACATCCACCCGGTGGACACACTGGCAGAGCGCCTGTTCGCGACGGGGTACATCCTGGTGACGTCCATCCTGCTGGGCTACGCCATCGGGCAGATCTCCTCCCTCATCTACTCCAGCCGCGCTCGCCGCGAGTCCGTGCGCCAGCGCTGCAACACTCTGCACAGGTGCCACCCCCCCGCCACTGCCTGCCTGTGCTCCCCTCTCCTCTGCGCTTCCCCTCTGTTTGCTCCGTGGGCCATCATTATTGCAACCCTCTCACACACCTCACCCATCTCATCGCGTCACCTCCTACGTGCATCGCCTCTCATCGCTGCTGGCAGGTTCATAGAGAAGGAGGAGATCCCTGAATGGCTCGCCAACCGAATGGTACTCTCTGCTCTCTGCTCTCTGCTCTCTGCTCTCTGCTCTCTGCTCTCTGCTCTGCCTGACACAACACATTGGCACCCCCCCTTTTCCTCGTCTCCTGCTGTTCCTCCTTTCCTGCTCTTCTTATCTGCACATCCCCACGCAATCATTCCACACCGTGAGGCGTGCGCATGACCCCTGCCGGCCAAGGGTGCAGATGGTGAGCCTCACGGGCAAGTGGCAGTCGGAGCTGTCGCAGCGCTTCCACGAGGGCGACCTCGTTGACGCCCTTTCGGTCAGTCCGGCCCCGCCCCGCCCACACTCTGCCCTGCTCTTCACCCTTCACCCTCTTCCCTCGCTTCCCACTCCGCACCGTTGCTCATGCCCTCCTCTGCCCCGCCCCATCCGCGTGTGCTGCTGGCAGGACGACCTGAGGGCGGACCTCTTTGTGCACTGGTGGCAGCGCCACGTGCTCCCCAGGTGAGCCTCTCACTGGTGGCAGCGCCACGTGCTCCCCAGGTGAGCCTCTCACTGGTGGCAGCGCCACGTGCTCCCCAGGTGAGCCTCTCACTGGTGGCAGCGCCACGTGCTCCCCAGGTGAGCCTCTCACTGGTGGCAGCGCCACATGCTCCCCAGGTGAGCCTCTCACTGGTGGCAGCGCCACGTGCTCCCCAGGTGAGCCTCTCACTGGTGGCAGCGCCACGTGCTCCCCAGGTGAGCCTCTCACTGGTGGCAGCACCACGTGCTCCCCAGGTGAGCCTCTCACTGGTGGCAGCACCACGTGCTCCCCAGGTGAGCCTCTCACTGGTGGCAGCACCACGTGCTCCCCAGGTGAGCCTCTCACTGGTGGCAGCACCACGTGCTCCCCAGGTGAGCCTCTCACTGGTGGCAGCACCACGTGCTCCCCAGGTGAGCCTCTCACTGGTGGCAGCACCACGTGCTCCCCAGGTGAGCCTCTCACTGGTGGCAGCACCACGTGCTCCCCAGGTGAGCCTCTCACTGGTGGCAGCACCACGTGCTCCCCAGGTGAGCCTCTCACTGGTGGCAGCACCACGTGCTCCCCAGGTGAGCCTCTCACTGGTGGCAGCACCACGTGCTCCCCAGGTGAGCCCATGCCCCACCGCCCTCATTGCCGCCCCTCACATGCAACTGTTGTGCCTCACCAATGGCACTCACTCCACCACACCCCTTCCCACCTCCTCTCCTCCCTACCCAACCATCATCCTTCACCCCCCCTGATCCCCCCAATCTCCCCCTACCCCTCCCTTCCCCCTCTCTCCTCCTCCCCCCCCTCTCTTCCCCGCGCCCCCCGGCAGCCCCATGTTACCGCACAACCACTCGTTCCTGGCGCACGTGTTTCCGTGCCTCATTCTGCGGCGCGTGGCGCCGGCAGATGTGATAGCGAGCGAGGGCGAGTTCACGAGGCACCTCTACATCGTGCGCTCCGGCACCCTCGATGTCACTCGCCTCAAGGACGGCCCCCCGCCCGCCCTCGCGCCCACCCACGCCGTTGCTGAGCTGGCGGGCTGTGAAGCTGACGTGGATGGGTGTGGGGTGGAGATGAAGGGGGGGATAGAGGAGGTGCAGCTGCCACCTGTACGTCGTGCCACCCACTTCGTGTCTCGGTCGTTCGGCCACATTTCAAAGCACAACTCATTTCGTGACTAGCCCCCTGCATGCACTATCCCTCGCCTCCCATGCTCGCCCTGCCCTGTCAAACACCGCTCTGTGACTGTGTCTGCATGTGCATGTGCTCCCGTCCACCCGACACCTTCGCTTCAACCCGCTACTATCCTCTCGCTTCTCTCTCCCTGGGACTCCCCTCTGCCTGTCGTCCTCCCACCGGCCAGGAGGTGGCGAGGGCGCTGCAGGAGCATGGGGGGGCGCTGCAGGAGCATGGGGGGGCGCTGCAGGAGCATGGGGGGGCGCCGGGGGGCAGAAGCGGGTCGCTGGGAGGGTTGCTGGGCGCAGCAGGAGCAGGAGCAGGGGTAGGGGGGTTGGGGGCGGGGGTGGGCGTGCAGAGGCGTGCGATGGGGCGGTCGCTGGCGGTGCAGGAGGCGGTGCCGGCAGTGGCGGGAGCGGTGGGGTACGAGAAGGAGAGTGTGGGCGAGGGGCATGTGGCGGGCATGGAGGGGCTCAAGGTGGCTCTGGAGATGCGCAAGGGCGAGGAGGAGTGGAGCAGCCAGCGCGTGTCCGTCATCTGCATGGCCGCCTCCTTCCAGGTGCCCCCTGCCCCACCCCCTGCCACCCGTAGCACCCTGTGCCATGCCCGCACTCACTACTCCCCCTCCTCCCCTCCCAGCAGGCGAAGACGGAGTGCGAGGTGTACCTGCTGCTGCTGGACGACTTGTTTGACGCCCTCGAGAGCTTCCCCGAGCTGCTCACCGCCATGCGCACCGCGCTGGGCCTGCCCCTAGCGCCTGACGAGTACCTGGCGCGGCCGCGCCTCATGGCATCGCACCGCAGCTTCAAGGGGCTGCAGAGGAACAAGAGCCAAACCCGCCCCACGCCCTTCTCTGCTGACAGCAGCAGCAACAAGACCCTGTCGTTTGGCAAGGGCCGTGTGATGCGGGTCGGCAGCAGCTCCATGCTCAAATCATTCAAAGGATGACGCTTCACACCCAGCTCCCAGATTGATTCGCCTGAGTTTGTAACGCGACTGACCAGGCAATGGATATGTACATGAATGGTTCAGCCTGTCCATTGACAGTTGGACCCAGTTGTTACGATGCCCAATCAGGAACCCACAGCTTTTGAAGCAGCTGGCCTAGGTATTTAATCAATTTTAAAGATAACATTGTGTTGAGGTCTGCTTTGATTAGGAAGGACCAGCCTGGCCCACCCATCAACACCAACCACAGATCTTTGGCACATACCGAACATAAAAATGCTGGATGCGTATTCAACAGTATGCACAAGACGACCGCAAGTCCATCTTTCCACACGAGTGACCAGCTAGGGAGCAGCAGCTGCAGCAGTGAGGCCATGGCGAGCCACGACTCGCCTGACAGCAGCAGCAGCAGCCTCGCTGGCAGCCAGCCCGCCCGCTGCCATGAGCGCTGCAAACTCACGCCTGATCTCCGCATGCACTGCCTCCTTTGCCCGCGCCTCTGCACTGCCTGCTGCTGATGCTGCTGCTGATGCTGATGGGGACGCTGATGCTGATGCTGATGCTATTGCTGGTGCTGTTGAGGTTGCAGGTGCTGCTGCTGGTGTTGACGTTCGTTCTGCTGCGTCTGATGCGTCTGACTGCCCCTTTGCTCCCATCTGCCTCGCATCCACGCCACCATCACACTGGGTCCTGAAGGCGACTGCTGCTGCCCCTGCTGCTGCTGCACCTACTGCTGGCAACGCGCTGCTTGGATTCAAGGCAGCGTCTGGCGTAGTGGGTGCGGGAACAGAGGTGGGCGGAGGGTGTAGCAGCTGTGCGGGAATGCTGTAGCTGGGGGACCCGCTGATAGGGGAGGGCGCGGGGAAGGGCGCACGAGGCGCGGCGCCGTACTTGAGAGTGGTCTCCAGCTGCTGTAGCAGCGGCGCTGCGGGGAGAGCAGCGCAAGCAGGAACAGAAGGATGGGGATGGGGATGGGGGGGTGCCAGCAGGCAGGGTGTGAGTACAGCGGTGGACGCACACAGCCATGACATCATCGTGGGACGTAGACAGGACGAATCAGGAGGGGGCGCGGCCGAGCGCGAGGCAGCAGCGACGTACCAAGCAGGGCGCCCTGCGGGCTGCTGAGGACGTGGCGGGGGAGGTCGAGGATGCGGGAGGGAATGCCGCGGCCCAGCAGGAAGTGCGCGACCTCGTCGCTGAAGTGGTTGCAGTTGTGCGACAGCAGGCTGTAGCGATGCGGGCTGTAGTTGACGCTGACGTCAGCCAGAAACTGCTCGAAGAGGTCGCGCGGAATCTCCGTGCACCCTAGTCGGATTGCCTCCATGGGCGGTCCGAAGTCGGTGCGGCCGGGCACGCCGCGCTGGATGCCCGCGCCGAACCAGTACTCCGTGCCGTACGCCACCACGCCCGTGTGGTACACCGCGTCGATTGCCGTCCCCAGAAGGGTCTGCGACAGCTGACGCGCCAAGCCGCGCGAGAGATCGTAGACGTGCAGCACGACGGAATGACTGCTGGCCTGCGACATGGAGAACGGACGACGTGGTTAAATTTGCAAGATTGGTCTCTCTCCTAAAAAACAAGTCGAGAGAGCCCACAACCTGACGACCCACCTCCTCCATTTCTCGAAAGCTGGTGAAAAGATTGATGTCAGCTGGTCGATAAGATTTGAAAAGCTCATCAAGTCAGCGCAACGTATTACTTCAACATCGGATCAACACAGCAATAGGATTGCGTCAAGGTAACGGAAACGTAAGCCAAAGAACAGAAGGAGTTGGAGGGAGGCAGCGTGGTGCTGCTAGTAGGGACGAGCTGGAGCTATAAGGGCGCGTGTCTTTTGAATTTAGGCCGAAGTTCATGTTTTTTAGTCGAATTTTTGCAATTGAACACAGGTCGACCTGTAGTCGACTTTCTCGTCATTTCATTGTCGAGTCGCGTGTTCACCTTGACGTGGAGCACATGGCACAAGAAATTTGTAGAGTAAAATCCGAGTTGCGCCAAGTTTCGTAGGTTACCCTGTCTATACAGTGAAGTTCGTTAGCGCTTTCAATTCTGGTAGCCTGGCGCGACGTGGTTCGTGACCATCGCGAATCTCGCAGCTTTTTCGTGCGTGGGCAGAAGAACACACGATTGGAGAAACGTGCTCGGGGATAGTCGAATGCGAGGTCGACCCTAGTTCAGTGTCCTTCTGTTTCAGCAACTTTGAGCTTGGACACACGTTCGTCGTCAATAGCTCTGTACGAAATTGGCGAAGCTGGCTACCAGCAAAAGTTGGACCTTTTTTTCGAACTTCTACACCAAAAGACACGCGCCCTAAAGGGAGGATCGAGGGGGGGGGAGGCAGGTGAGGCGAGTGTGCAAGGAGCGACAGGGGCGAACCTCGAAAGTTCCACATTCATCGCGAAGTCCTCCGAGGCCTCGGGCACCAATCAGGGAAAACCCGTTTTAAACTTCTGACTGTACAGAAACATTACAAGTCTGTTATTTGTAGCCCTGGCAAATTCCCAAAAAAAATGTAAGAAAAAAGAATGAATTAAGGAAATATGAAATAGATGAAAAATTTTCCGAGCCAATATATTTAACCGTAATCTCATACGTACATGTTTTGCATCTTTGTTAATTACCTTGTAAATCCGGATACTAGGCTTGGGATTATTTGAGTATTCATCCAGTTATTGGGATGGATTAGAATAAGGTACGTCCTTATGTGGGCTGTAGGTACTACTGGGTTTATGGGAGAACTATTTCTGGAGTAGTATATTGATTATAGATATGTATCCTCTATAATCCTCTCAACAATTTCCACACTTGCGGGACACATTATCTCTTCTGTACGACGGGTGGTCTGCATTGCGTTGGATGGTTCCGTGTGACGTGTTCTTGTCGTCAAGCGTCACACAGGCAGAAGGGGACCAGACACACCAGCTGTGGTTGTTCCCCTTCAAACAGCCGGATTGTGGATGCAGCGGTTCTGGGACCAGTTGGGTGTATTGAAACGGAACATCCGCCAAAACGCGGCTAGTCTTGTGAATCAAATATGGTAATTGTTCCGCAATCTGGTGAAACCAACAAGAACCTTGGTGATGTCTTACCCGACGGTGATAGATTTGCCAGCTGTCGTTGTGGGCGCCTACATTCGAGGTGTTCGCCGTCGCTGTTCCCTGGCTCAGTTCTTTCTTCCCCCCCACAGGCGCAGCGTATGCGAATCCGCCTGATCCGATCATGGCTTGCGCATTGCGCTCACACAAGCTACCAACTCTCGCGGGGTTTTCCCAAACACGTCATTCTTTTGGAGGGCAAGGGGCTGGAAGGAGCGAGGGACAAGAGCCTGTCAGGTCAGGCGCTGCTGTGGAGGCTGGCTGGCCCCTCCCCTCATCTCGCCTCGCTTCGCTTCCCCTCCTCAGTAGTCCAGCAGCGCAAGGGCAGCAACCGCAAACAATTGTGGTCCTCCCCGTTCCCTTCACGGTTTGGTTCGTTCCTCCCCGTCCGAAGAACTCAAGGCGGGATTTTGCGCCATGCCCTGCCACACGACCACTGCTGGCTTCGTTGGAGGGAAACGACGAACTGCACAACTTCCAATTCAATAACCGCTTTCTCCGCTTCCTCCCCAATTCCGAAGTGGGTCTGCTGCAGCAGAGTCAGTAGAGTAGAGAGATGCAGGCAGCGGCAGCAATGGAAGCAGGACCGTAACAGGGGTCAGTTGGTTGACATCACCTCCGTTTCTTCCACAGCTCCATTTTACCAAGCCTTGACATTACAGATTAGGGTTGCACATGTTTTGAGATAGGATCGTAACAGCCATGTCCTCACGATTAGGCTTCGTTTGCCTTTGTCTCCTCGTCGGGGCGTTGTTCGTAGCGTCCCAGCCGTTGGAAGCAGTAAGATTGTAGAGCGAATCAAGTAGGCAGTTCGCATTATACGCGTATCTGTCCATCAGGGGCGAGGCGATGTATAAGACCATCAATAAGGTGTTTCACAACCATGGTGGCAAGAAGAAAACGAGAGGAGAGGCTTCGGAGAGCATCAATCGCAGCCACAGCTCCGAGAAATCTCAGAATGCCGTTCCCTACGCCGGAACGCCAATCCCACAACACGTGGCCGTGGCGGCGGCGCAGGACCTGCGCCCAGATTCGCCGCTGCGCTTGGGCTCACCGTCGATTGCGGCGATTGGTGAGGCCACGCTTAAGAAGATCGTGAAGCGTGCGTTCTACGGCGAGGGATCAGGCGCGCCGGCGGGGAGGCTGAAGGAGGTCCCGACGGAGATGCTGGCGTTCGAAATCGGCAGCATCATGCGGCGCATGCTCGAAATCTACGACTCCATGGCGGAGAAGATGCTCTCGTCCTTACGCTCCAACCTCCAGGTGACCCATTGCTGATCCCCTCTGCCATCCATCTGCCTCATCTCCTCTCGCCGTGCTCTCTTTCTACCCTTCGTGCCTCCCTCCATCGCCCCCCAAGTGCCGCTGGCCGTACCTCCTCGCTCCCTACTCGTTGTCTGTGCCGCCTGCTCTGCTCCGCGCGTTTCGTCTTCGCCACCGCGGAGTGTCCAGGCGTCCCCCACCCACGCGTGCGCTCCTCCGTCCCTTCCTCCCCGTGCCCTTTTCCCCGTGTGTGGTGCGTGCAGGCTCCGGGAGTGGTCACGCTCATTTCCAATGACCTTCGGGTGCTCTGGGGCCTCGCAGGTAAGAGCCAGTCGCAGGCCGTCGCAGTGAAAGCTAGTCGTAGGCCTTTGCATTCGCACGCGGGTAACAGGGCGTTGCAGGCAGTAGGTCGTCGCAGACACTAGGGTGTGGCAGGCGACGTTGAATGGCGGTGAGGCCTGCGATATACGGCTCCAGGCCAGTGACGGGGTGGGGGGGAAGGGGGAGTGCCGGCGGCCAGCCTACCCCTTCTCCATTCCGCGCTGCTCTTGCTAGCAGCGTATCTGGCCGCTTTACCTTTCGCGCATTGGCCTTCATCAGGCGACCCCATCCCGCGCGTAGCTACGTTCCCCCTTCCCCGCCTGGCTCTCTGCCGCACTTCGACGATTTATGTGTCTTACTGCTTTCCGTTTCCCGCTTTCCTCCCCTCCAATCCGCTTCCCCCTTTCCTCCCCCCCGCTTCCGTTCTGTCCCGCGTCTCCCCCCCTCGTCCCCCCAGGGTACGAGAAGCACGAGGAGCTGCGCGTGGTGGCGGCGCGCGTGGCGGTGCTGGGGCGCAAGGGCGCGGACGTGCGGCTGCGGCGGCTGGAGCGCGTGTTGGCGCACCTGGACTCGCCGGACGCCAACTACAAGGACTTCGCCGTCTCCTCCGCCGAGGGCGAGGTGCTCCTCAGGTGCGCGCGCGCCCCCCGCTGTGCTGGCACGGGTGGCCGGGGAAGGGCGGTGCAGGGGTGGCCGGAGGGATGGGCTGAGAGGGGATGGGCGGATGGGATGGGCGTGTTGTAGAGAGGGTATGGTGGCGGTCAATGCGTGCGGTCATCCGTGCGTGCGTGTCCTCATAAGTGCAAGGGTATTTCTGTGCGTGCGATGATGCGTGCGTGTCACGATGGGTGCGTGCGATGGTGCGTGCGATGGTGTGTGCGTGCGGGTGCGGTGGTGTGCGCGGTGGCAGGTTCATGCGGGAGCAGGCGGAGGCGACCAACACGCTCAAGGCGGAGATGGAAGCCATTCAGCTGCTGCACTCCCGGTAAGCCCGCTGCTGCACTCCCGGTAAGCCCGCTGCTGCACTCCCAGTAGCGCGCTGCACTCCCTCCAGTACCAAAAGCCTTTATTTCCGCGCCCTCCGTGACCCCGTTCCACGCCTAACCTCCACTCATCTTCTGCGCCCTCGTCCCCGGCCCTGCCCTCTCCCTTCTCCCCACCCCCCCCCCCGCCGTTGGCGCATGGGCCGCGCAGCATACAGGAGTACGGGGAGTGGAACTCGCTGCAGGAGATGGTGACGCAGGGCAAGCTGGTGGAGAAGCTGCAGGGCCACTGCCTCTGGGCCTACAACCTCGACTACCTCGTGCAGGTAAGCCCTCCCCCTCGTGCAGGTACGCCCTCCCCCTCGTGCACGTGCGCCCTCCACCTCGTGCACGTATATTCCCACCTCCATCGTCTCGCGCTCCTGCCTTGTCACCTGCCTCTGAACGTGCCCACCCCTTCCCCCCGTCTCCCCCCGCCCGCGCGCGCGCGCAGCTGCTGGTGGTGGCGGCGTGCTACGTGCGCAAGAAGATCTTCGCGTCGTTCGGCCACGGCATGTGCCCGGCGCGCATCCGCGACGCGTCGCTGGGGTCGGCGGGGCTGGCGCTGCACTACGCGAACGTGGTGGTGCTGCTGGAGCGCATCATCCAGCAGCCCGACGCCGTGCTGGGCCCCACGCGCGACGAGCTCTACGACATGCTGCCGCGCTCCATCCAGTACCTGCTGCGCGTGCAGCTGCAGGACCCGCTCAACTTCACCGCTGATGGGCGCGTGGAGGCGAACCTGAAGCGCGGGCTGCTGCTGCTGCCCACCATGGCGCACAACACCATCCACTGGCACTCGCTGCACACGCCGGGCGCGGCTCTTGACTTCGGCGAAATGGTCTTCCAAGTGCAGGTCAGTGCCGCGCACTGCACGCGCCTTTCTGTATGTTCCTGCGTGTGCGCACTTGTTTGCTTGCGGACGCACACACTATCCCCTTCCGCGCACCTCAGACCCCCTATGTTGCCCCCTCCCATTCCCGCTATTGACGCACCAGACGTTTTACTACGCGAACGTGGCGGCGGTGAACGCGACGCTGGTGGACGTGCTGCTGGGGCTGTGCCGCATCTGCGGCGTCGAGGCGCCCATCGGCAGCATCTCCCTGCACGCGCCCGCCACCGCCGACTACTCGCTCGCGCTCGCGCGCAGCCAGGAGGAGGACGAGCGCGGTTTCCGCCGGCAGTGGGGCATGGAGGCGCGCGAGGAGGACTGGTTCGGCGGGCAGGTCTTCAAGGTCGCGGACGAGCGCAGGGGGCCGCGCAGGGACGCCGCGCAGGGGGGCGCGCACGCTGGGGGGTTTGTGGAGGGCGGGGGATACGGGGGAGGCGGGTACGGTGGTGGGAGCGAGGGGCAGTTCAATGGGGGCGAGTACGGCGAGCAGGGAGGGCAGTGGCAGGTGCAGGGCGGGGGGATGGACGGCAGCGGGGACGGACGAGCAGCAGCGGCGTCAGGGAGCATGGGAGGAGGGGCGTTTGCGCGGGTGCGGGTGGGGCAGGAGGAGGGGCGGGGGGCGTCGATGGAGCGGCGCAGCGGCAGCTGGGTGTCGGACGCGTCCACAGATGACAACACCACCTTCGGCGCCTCCTCGCCCTCCCTCTCCCTCTCCGAGGCCGGCAGCGCCTCCAGCGCCAAGCCCACCCGCGGGCGCTCCTCCCGGCTGTCGCGCGACCCGTCGCTGTCCACGGACGGCCCCTCCACGCCCTCCAGCCTCGCCTCTGATCGCGACGGCTATGCTGCTGAGGCCCCGGGCGCAGGGGATGGAGTGGGTGGGGGCAGGGGTGGACAGGGCGCAGCAGCTCCGCTGGCTGGTAGGAAAGCGAGCCGCACGTCCAGCCGCAAGGGCAGCAGCGGCGGCAATAACGGCTCCGACCGCCCCTCCACTCCGCCCATGTTCTCCCCCTTGCGCTCCCCTTCTGCGGATCTCCCCCCCACCACCCCCCCACACCACTCTCGCACTCCCCAACGCTCGCCCAGACAAGGGACGGGAGGAGATGGGGACGGGGGAGGGGGAGGTGGAGGGGAAGGGGGGGCGGGTTGGGGTGGGCACAGCGAGGGGCGCAAAAGTCGGAGCAAGAAGGGAGCAAGAGGGAGCAGCAGCAGCAGTGGCGGCGGGGGAGAGGGTGGTTTCTTCAGCAGCAGCGGCAGCTTCAAGGACCACGGCTCATCGCCAATGCGCCCCTCAAACCTGTCGGTGCCGGCGTCCGTGTCATCATCGCCCTCACCCTCGTCCGTGCCGCGCCAGGTGAGCGCCGACGCGCTGTCGGTGGGGTCTAACGACAGCGACGGCCGCTGGTCCTCCTCGCTCTCGCGCCGCTCCTCACGCTGGGCCGGCGTGGTGGGCTTCGGCAAGTCCAAGTCGTCCCGCCTGCCCGAGGGGGCGCCGCCCATGCCGCCACCACCGGCGGTGGTTGGGGGGGTGCAGGAGAGCGTGGCGGGCAGCAGCGTGGAGGAGGGAGGGGCGCTGGCGGGGGAGAATCCGTACGACGACCCGGCGTTTGCAGGGCTGGACACGCCGACGCTGCGCAAGGCCATGCAGAGCGGCGGGCTGGTGGGGTGCTTCACAGGGGGCTCGAGCGTGGCGGACTCGGACTCAGAGGCGGAGAGCCTGTCGTCCGTCGGCAGCCACTCCTCCCGCCCCGCCAGCACCTCCTCGCGCTCGCGCCGCAGCAGCAGAGCACCCGAGGGGCCGGGCGACGGAGGGCAGGGGCAGGCAGGGCGCGGGCGAGTGAGGCGGTCCACGAGCAGAAGCAAGGGAGGCAGTGCGGTGGGGGCGGGGGCAGGCGAGGGCAGAGGTGCGGGTGGGAGTGCAGCAGCGATGCAGCCGCGCACTCGACACTACTACTCGCAGCCACTGCCACCACGCGACCAGTGGAAGGAAGCAGCAAGAGATGAAGCACAGTGAGGCTGAGAGGCAGCAGACACTGTGCAGGCAGCTTGGCAAGTGGAACGATTCCGCCTGGCCTTCTTTGCCTCGGTATTTGGAGGAGCACCCATGGCAAGCTAACTAACACCTGTAACATATGCTAACCCTGCAGTTTGGTTTAGGGTTTCCTTCAGAGCCTAAGTGATTGTGCCATTAATTGGATCACCTCAGTGTAGAACGAACGGGTACTATGATGAACAGCAGCCGAAGGGGCTGCAGCGTGGGGCTCACAGTGTCCTGCAGACGCCAGTTGCATTTACGGTAGTGTGGCCGGCCAGCCTTTGCATTGATAAATGCTCCACGTGCATAATGTATTGAAAGCATGGGTGGTGTTGCAGCCATTTTTTATCCGTGAAAGATACAGATTACAGTACACGATATTTCTAATTCTTGACTCACCCGTATTATTACACAAAGATGTAGCCCTTACTATTACACCGATGTGAATATTTGCAGAAGATGTTTCCGACTTCACAGACCTCCGGAATTTGCAAAAAGGTGATCGACAATGTCGCGAATGTTTGCCCAGATCCAACGGTTGTCATATTCTTGGCTACCGTGCCGATCTGTGACGAGCAAACTTCTGGGGGTTCCTTCCGTCGTCAGGGAGAACTCTCGCACTCACCCGTCGTCAGGGAGAGCTTATCGTCCCTTTCACCCACTGATGACACGATCCCCTTTCCTTCGGGAATAGCACGCCACATCATACTTCTTCCTCTTACTGGGATTATACATCGACCCACCTGCTTCTCCCCTCCACTGTGCCACCTAGCTCAGGTAGAACCCATGGCCAAATTCGCCATCACCTTGATATTAACACCAGCAACTGTCAGACTAGTTAACCCCTGCTTTCTAAGGATTCTTGCCAACCTTTCGCAAGTAGGCAGTTTTACGGAGTCAACATACCAACAGGACACGGCTTCCAGGCTTTTACAGATCGAATTAGGTTCTATAATGTGGCGCGAGCAACTGCGTTGACGAGGAGGATATGGCCGAAAGTGTGAGAAAACTGGATTTTTTATAATGATGATAATTAACACGATGCTGACGCTATCCAATTGATTCACTCAGCTTTGCAAGTTATATGTTTAGGTTTCTAATGATAATCAACTTAGTGCAAATACTGTATTTTCAGGTACCCCCGGTCGCGTCGGCCTCTTCAACGGCTTCAGAGGACCCGTTCAAGGAGTACTATGACAACGATATGAAAATCCTTAATCGGGCTTATCCGAAATTGGGAAACAATGCTTCTGATGTAAGTGACATCATTTTCGCCTACCCTTGCAAACTATGCAGAGCTCTTTATGAGATCGTTTACATGTCACCTGGTGTAAAGAGGTGTGCCTTTGTTCATGTCGTGCAGCATGTAAAGAGAAGTGAAAATCTGGGGGAATATATTCGTGATTTGAAGGCATGCGTCAACGCTGCTGCCAAGTCGTACTCTTCGAAAAGGATGGCAGGTAAGCACCCACTTGAAAGTTTTAGTGTACAAGCCATCGGCCAGTAATAATACTTTGTTACGTATCTTGCAGAGGCCAGGCTTGAAGAAGAGAGGAAACTGAGGCAACGTGCAGAAGTCAACGTATCGGTGAGAAGTACCTTCAGGCCCCATGCTTTGAACTCCGTCCACGTTTCATGTGTCTCATGCTGCGTCTACCGTAAACCCTGGAGGCGGAATGCATGTGTTTCATGCTGCCCCGCTCCCCCCTTTCATCACCAGGAGCTGGAGGCAGAAGTTGCACGGCTGAAGGAGGACAAGGAGCAGCTTCGCACCCAGCTGCTGCTGCTGCAGTCCCACGCGCACGCGGTGAGCCAGCAGTCATGGGTTGGGTGCACAAAAGCCGCTGCTACTGCCTATGCCTAGCCTGCCGTGCCGTGCACATGTGCTTGCACGTCTACATGGTATCCACGCGCACCTGAAAGACACGTGCGTGTGTGTGTGTGTGGGTATGTCACACTCTATGCCTCATCCCGTCCAGTGTCTTCACTTGCCTTTCTGTCTGCCTTGCAGGCAACACAAGCTGAACGGCAGCGCATGGCATTGGTGAATCGCTCCTTTACTTCATTCAACTCAATGGCGCACACTGAAGTGAGTGATTCCCGTTTATCCCTTCCTTCGGTTTCGTTCCTTCCCCCCCACCCTCTCCTCCCCCCCTCCGGCCCAATCTCCAACGAATTCCTCAGTAGATTCTATTCTATCCGTACCTTCTGTTTCACACCGTTACCCGCCTCGACCTTGTCCCTCTCCCCTCACCTCCCATGCTCTGCACCACGCCTACTTCCTGCAGCAGCGCCAACAGCATCGATTATTTTACCCTTTATTTCTCACCTCTATCCCCCTCAACCCTGCCCTTTTCACTTCACTCCCCATGCCCTGCAGCTAGCAGCAGAGCAAACTGCAACAGAAGCAGAGCAAACTGCAGCAGAAGCAGAGCCAACAGCAGTAGCAGCAGAGCCAACAGCAGCAGTAGCGGCAGGAGGAGCAGCAGAAGTAGAGGAGGCACCAGAAGCAGTAGTGGCAGGGGTAGTAGCAGGGGGTATGGCAGCAGAGGTTGGCGTTGCAGTGGGTGCTGCTGGCACAGGGGTTGCTCCAGAAGCAGCAGTGGCGTTGAGTGACGCAGGGGCCACCGCTGTAGCAGCCGTTGCAGCAGTGGCAGCAGAGGGAGCTGCAGTGGGTCCGGTGGTGGGAACAGGGAGAATGTTCGGAAAGGCACGAAGGCGGATGAAGTCAGCAACGAGCTCTGCCGCTTCCACTGTGGCCTTTCCACCATGGCATCCGTCCTCCCGCAACTCCGATATGGTGTTGCAGCAGCAGCAGAGCCAGCAGCAGCAGCAGCAGCAGAGCCAGCAGCAGCAGCAGCAGAGTCAACAGCAGCACTAGCAGCACCAGCAACGGCAGCAGCAGCAGCAGTTGGGTCGTCCACTCTGTTTGCACAACCCCTCTCAACCGCTTCACACATGCACACGTCAGGGTCATGGTGACAAGGGCAGCACTCCTGCCTGGTCTAGCTCGATGGGGAAAGGGCGTAGTGTTCAGCTGAATGCATGTTCATGCCACAGATTGCCGGAAGCCTTTCTTTCTAACCAGATGAGTTTTCACGTAGATAATTATGAGTCAATGCAACAAGACGTGTCTCCTTAGCCATATGATAAGATTGGATGTAGGTAGGAGATTGGAAGGCGAATTTGCAGTGCATATGTTGTTGCTAATCATTCATCCAGCCAACCATCTAAAGCAGAATGACAATGGTTGTTGAATAACTAGGCCATTCCACTGTCCCCCATTACATGACCTGCATGTATCAACGTTTCACAAACAACACGTGCTGCTGAAGCATCCAATCCAACGTTTGGGCTCGATGAATTCAAGCTTCAAGGGACACTATGACACGACTACACTACAAGGTCACTGTAATGAAATCCATGCCAAAAGTTGTGAGATGAATCAGACCAACCATGGATAGGCATGGTTGGCTCGGCAGGTTGCCAGAGACACAGGTGAACGAGGTGCTTGTATTGAATCACAGCTTTTCTGTGCAACGTAAGTAGGCCCCGATTGAATACTATGGATCAGGGCAGGGCCCACGATATCAGGGCAAAACATCCTGATTACCCTGATTTCAGGATGGTGTCTTAAGTTTGCCCTGGAATTTCAGAATGATGCTGAAATTTACCCTGTGACGTCAGGATGATCCTTGTGTTTTGCCCTGAAATTTCAGAATGGCAGTGAATTTTTGCCCTGAAGCGTTAGGGTGAATGTAGAGGGATTCCCTGACTCGTGGGAAGGGGAGAAAGGGTGGAGGGGGGAGAGAGGGAGAGGGAGAGAGGGGAGGAAGGAGGCTGGAGGGTGTGTGTGCTAGTTTTGTCCTCACCCCTCCCCCACCAATGTTTTTGCTCCGCCAGTAGAAGTGAAACCAGTGAACAACCTGCTCCTTTCGTGCCTTCCCCTCCATCCTCTCTAGTGCCTCGTATTTTTTGCCCTGAATCATCCATATGAATTACTGCTGGTGCCCTGAAATTTCAGGATGGCCAGAAAATTCTGCCCTGAAGAATCAGGGCATTTCAGAGATTTTTCAAAAGTTACCCTGAGGGCTCAGGGTGCCCAAAATCCTAGCACAGGCCCTGGATCAGGGCTTCAGATTCGTTTTGGGCCACCCTTAGTAATCAGGGTTCTAGGTATAGTCAACCCTGATGTGTAGGGTAAAAAATTTGTTTCCCTGACAAAAGCAGGGTAAAAACAAAGTTAGTCTGTTGGGCCAGGGTAATTTTGTTTTAAAATTTATATATACAACGCTAAGTGCGTGGACCGGCACTTAGTGGCTCAGTTACTCAATTTTTAAGATTCGAAAGGTCGCAGGTTCGAGTCTTGCTGTTAGGAGCATTTTGCAGGGGCCAGATAGTGTTTCGTCTCGCTTCGGAGCATTCCGTAACAGTATGGCTGAGATCGTTTAGTGTACAGTCAGGGAAATGAATTACTTACGCTGTTTTTCAAAGGGAGAAAAACACTTACACTTTCTGGCCTAGGGAAAAAATCCATTACCCTGCCTGTGAAAGGGTAACTGAAAAAAAGCGGCCGCCAGTCAGTGCAAAAAGGGTATTTTACCCTGATAACGAGAGCCCTGCTATAGATGTTTGAATGGCTGCAATGCGACCCCTGCTGTGGTGCCTGCTGCTGCCTAAGCTGCTAACTATTGTCCTCTCCACTCTGCCTTTCCACCTTGTCCATCTCATCTCACGTGACGGGCAGCATGGGTCGTCGCTTGGGTTAGGACCTAATCATATAGGAGCTGCTGGGGCTGAAGCTTTAGTTAAAGCGTTAGAAGCTACCGTAATAAGTCACTAATGTTGCTTGAGTTCGTGTATGTAACACCTCGCTACCCACTGGGTCAAAACGAGGGTGTTATTTGGCGCAGCGGAGTGCCCTTAACACAGCCCACAGGCGTTACAGTGTAGGAGATAATGATATAGGAGATGTCGGGGCTGAAGCTTTGGCACTAGCATTAAAAAGCAATACGTCAATAACATCGCTTAATTTATTGTATAGCATAGGACATGGTGGTGGGGTTCAGGCTTTGGCAGAATTTTAAAAGGCAATACGTCAATAACGTCGCTTGAGTTATATAGTAACAACATAGGACATGTTGGGGCTGAAACTTGCGCCTCGTCCGACACGGAGCAGGGCAGCGCCACAAGCATGCCACCGCCGTCGCCGCCTTTTGAGGCGCCTCCAAAGACGCGCGCTCCTCCACTGGCACGGATGAGACACGCATGAAAGTGCCTCGTCCGTCCATCCCTCGCCTGCGCCTCGTCTGTGTTTTTGCGCGGAAGGAGAGTGCGAGAGCAGGTTGGGGCAGGTGAGCAGGCAATGCAGCGCACGGGGCGGACGGGTTTGGGGCGCCAGCAACGCAGGCAGGGGAGCAAGTGGAGCAGCAGCAGCAGCAGCACCTGGGGCGATGGGGGAGGTGGGAGCAACGGAGGTAGGATGGAGAGTGTGGGAGCATCGGAGGTAGGATGGAGAGTGTGGGAGCAACGGAGGTAGGATGGAGAGTGTGGGAGCAACGGAGGTAGGATGGAGAGTGTGGGAGCAACGGAGGTAGGATGGAGAGTGTGGGAGCAACGGAGGTAGGATGGAGAGTGTGGGAGCGCGGAGGTAGGATGGAGAGTGTGGGAGCAATGGAGGTAGGATGGAGAGTGTGGGAGCAACAGAGGTAGGATGGAGAGTGTGGGAGCGCGGAGGTAGGATGGAGAGTGTGGGAGCAATGGAGGTAGGATGGAGAGTGTGGGAGCGCGGAGGTAGGATGGAGAGTGTGGGAGCAACGGAGGCAAGATGGAGAGTGTGGGAGAAACGGAGGTAGGATGGAGAGTGTGGGAGCGCGGAGGTAGGATGGAGAGTGTGGGAGCAACGGAGGTAGGATGGAGAGTGTGGGAGCGCGGAGGTAGGATGGAGAGTGTGGGAGCAACGGAGGTAGGATGGAGAGTGTGGGAGCAACGGAGGTAGGATGGAGAGTGTGGGAGCGCGGAGGTAGGATGGAGAGTGTGGGAGCGCGGAGGTAGGATGGAGAGTGTGGGAGCGCAGAGGTAGGATGGAGAGTGTGGGAGCGCGGAGGTAGGATGGAGAGTGTGGGAGCGCCGGAGGTAGGATGGAGAGTGTAGGAGCAACGGCGGTAGGATGGAGAGTGTGGGTGCGCGGAGGTAGGATGGAGAGTGTGGGAGCGCGGAGGTAGGATGGAGAGTGTGGGAGCGCGGAGGTAGGATGGAGAGTGTGGGAGCGCGGAGGTAGGATGGAGAGTGTGGGAGCGCGGAGGTAGGATGGAGAGTGTGGGAGCGCGGAGGTAGGATGGAGAGTGTGGGAGCGCAGAGGTAGGATGGAGAGTGTGGGAGCGCGGAGGTAGGATGGAGAGTGTGGGAGCAACGAAGGTAGGATGGAGAGTGTGGGAGCAACGGAGGTAGGGAAGAGCTGCGTGGAGCATGCAAGCGTGGTGCAGTGGGAGTGAGGAGGATTGGTGGCACCTATGCGGTGATAGGGGAAGGGAAGGCCTTCTGAGGCGTCTTAGAAGTGCTCCCTGCCCCGCTGCACCCTCCCCTGCCCACCTTTCCCCCTTTCCACCCCGACCTCCCTTCCCTGCCCCCACCTTCGTGCACCTGGCCACACCTGACGACTGAGACTCGTCCGTGGCGGCATAGGACACTTTTGAGAATTCGCAAAAGTGATTTCCATGACAACGCCGCCCACCACCGTCGCCCGTATCATAACTCACGCTTGGCCGTTGCCAGCACTGCTTCTCTCCTCAACTGAGTCACAGCGATCATGCCGGGCTGGGCATGCCCCCTGTGAGGGACGAGCTGTAGCGTGCCTCGTCGAGAAACTGGAAACTGGGGTGGGGAAAAGGGGGAAGGGAGGGGGAGGGGAAGGGGTGAGTTGGACTAACATTTCCCTCACTTCCTTGCCCACGAGAACCCCTCGCGAGGGAAGAGCCGTGCCCAGCATCATAGAGAAACTAGGAAGGGGGGAGGGTTTCGTTTCGGGGGTCCAAGGGAAGGGAGGTTCCCCCACGCCCTGCTTGCCCCCACGCCCTGCCTCCCCCACCCGCCTCGCCCGCACGCACCTAGGGAACTTGTGTTGTGTGGTCTTGCCCGACCCCGTCTAGCCACACACCAGGCTGGCAGGGCTGCCCCCCATGTACCTTTTTCCCCCACCGCATGCACCCTCCCCCCCAACCAAACGCACTGGGGGCACTTGTGTAATTTCCCCGACCACGTCTCGCCACACGCAAGGGTGGCAGGGCTACCCCCATGCACTTCTCCCCCCAGACACCTCCTGCTCTGAGATGGTATCCATGCGGTACAAGTGGACGCGAAAGCCCCCCCACTGTTGCGCCGCCCTGTGCTGGTGCCGCTTCATATAGAAGCCCCGCGCCCACTCCTAGCGGGGGTGAGTAAAGGGGGGGTGGGGGGTGGGGGGGGGGTTGTTAGGAACATAATGTAGGAGCACCCATGTGCCCCACGCCTAATCCTGGCGGGGGTGAAGGTGGTGGAGGAGGGAAGGAGGCTGATCCTGTGCGGTTCTGCCTCGTTTTACCCTATGCGCTGTACGTAGCACCAATTGACTACATAGTATTTACTTGTTGCCAATAACGACCAAGCTCATCACCGCACACACTACCTGGTGTCTGGGCGGCACGGGTGGCAATCGTACCTGCTGGTTGGGCGGGAAGAATAGAGGTCTCCAAAGATGGTGGCACGCGCATTGGCAAGGCCACACCACCCCGGGATCTGCGCGTTGCTGCACGCATGTACAGTATGCTAGTGGGTTGAGCGGCTACGTACCTGCTGGCTGGGCGGCTGGGGGTAGAGGTCCCCAAAGATGGTGGCGCATGCGTTGGCCAGGCCGCTCCACCCCAGGATCTGCACGACCACGGTGTGGACGCCCACCAGAGTGCAGCAGCACCCTTGGCCCGTGGCCAACCGTGCACCTCTCCACCCCACTGAACGGCATCCCACCCTACCGCAACTCACCGCACAACCTCCCGCTTCATCCCAC